CGGGGGGCGGGGGGGGGGCTCCCGCCTGCTCTTTTTCCTGAGGAGTTGGGGGGCTGAGGGCAGGGGCGGGATCTGAGTGCACGGCCCTGCCCGTCCAGGCGCTGCCTGCATCACCAGCGTACAGGGGACCAGGGCGTCGTAGCATAGCCAGCTCAGCACCCAGCACCCACTCAGCACCCAGCGAGCTCCCGTGGCACCATCCCAAGCGCCGTCCCAGCACACCGCACAGGCCCAGCTGGGCTGCGCACACCGCCCAAGACACCACCAACGTCCCGCTCAGCGGCTCCGTCCTTCATTTGGAGTATCAGAGTGGCTTACAAACTCCTTTCCCTTCCCCTCCCCACAACAGACACCCTGTGAGGTGGGTGGGGCTGAGAGAACTCTGACACAAACTGCTCTTTTTCAAGGACAGCTGTGCCAGAGCTTGTGAGTGACCCAAGGTCACATCAGCAGGTGCAAGTGGAGGAGTGGGGATTCAAACCCGGTTCTCCCAGATTAGAGTCTGCACATTTAACCACTACACCAAACTGGCTCTAAAGGTAGCTTTAGCCCTGAAAAATATATTTGAAATTGTTTTGAGACATTTGCTCTTTAAGCTACCATTCTTTATATGCCTTTTTGAAGCCAACCCCACTGAACAGCTAGTTAAAGTGGTCGTGGTCAGCTTGACATATTTCCCAAACATTTTGAGCCTTTTGTTTCAAGCAGCTGGTAATGCAAGGTAGACTGGGGAGCTCTCTCTGAGCTGTCAGTAAAGGAGACCTTTGCAAGGATGCCTACTCTTTCTGAAAAAGGTAAAGAAGACTTTGCTTACAGTAAATGAAGGATCATGCTGTTTGTCTGCTAACTGGTTCATAGAATCTAGATGGTACAAATAAAAATAAAAGATTTCAGGCAATAGACTTGCTTTTGCTACTTGTAGATTGGAATTAACTAATTGTAGAGTATTCATGCAGTTGGCAGGAAATTGGTAACAGTTGACAGTGATAGGCTATTGATGTTCCTCGAGTCTAATGGAAATTTTAGGACCGATATGAGGATTAATATTTCTAACAATACATAATGGCTATGGTCCAACACAATATTGAGAGCACTTAAGCCGATTGATTACCTTAACAATACTTAATGTTATGTTGGATTGTGTTCATTACAGTTTAATAAACATTTAATGAAGTAGTTCATAATGTGTTTTGAGATGTTAAAATAATACATCATTATATCCCACATTTCAGATGCTTCAGACAGTGATTCTAAGGCTGCGGTCAGACAGCGTGCTATCATGTTGTGACCATGCCTCTTTTTTGATCCAGTTTTTTAGTACTGGGGATTTTTGATAAGACATGCCCTCTTCACCGCACGCTCACCCTGGTTGGTGACTGTCCAGATGCCTGCTGCGCAGCACCTGTGGAATGGGCAGCCCGTGCCATTTTTTAAAAATATTTTCAGAAAATTGTGCATGTGCAGAAGCAAACCAGGAAGTTAAGGCTGCCAATATGGGAGCCTTAATGGA